TTGGTGGCACTGCAGAGGACGGATTTGAGGGAGACAAAAATTGGAAGACACAAAATTTCTTAGGAGGCATTTGCACAGAGGAGTAACAGGTTTGTGTTTGTATTTAAGAATCTTAGCTAACATTTACAATGACAATTACTAAATATGCATTATAAAGCAATACCGTATTACTATTTCAAACAACTCTATGAGTAAATGCCATTATTATCCTCATTTGACAGCTAACAGAATAGGTAATTAGTCCCAGAATAAGTAACAGAATAAGTAACTGTCCCAAACCTCAGGCAGTCTGGCACCAAAGCTTATGCTCTTCATCACTACCTCATGTGCTTAATTTCAGTCTCTCACTTTGGATGAAAGCTCTGTGCAGACAGGAACTGTATGTCCTCCACTGTGCCTAAACGGTACACAGTAACTATTTCTTGAATAAACTCAATGACTCACCTAAGCGAAAGAAATAGTGGACTATATTATATATAGACAAGAAATATTTTAGATGCAATCTTGGCCAATTTTTGGCAGACTTTGGTGATTGTTATGGACTGAATATGTCTCTCTCCCCACCACCCAAATTCATATGTTGAAGCACTAACACCCCCCACCCACTCGGATGGGGCCTCAGAGGAGATAGTTACGGTTAAATAAGATCATATGGGTGGGGCCCTAAACCAGCAGGATTGGTATCTTTATAAGAGGAAGAGAGACAAGAACTGGCTCTCTCTGTATACATGCACCAAGGAAAGGCCATGTAGAGATATAGAGAGAAGCTGGCCCTCTACAAGCCAGGAAATGAGCCCTCACCAGAAAACAAATCAGGTGGAACCTTGATCTTGGACTTCTGGTCTCCAAAACTCTGAGAAAATAAATTCCTGTTGTTTAAGCCAACTAGTCCATGGTATTTTGTTATGGCAGCTGAAGCAGAGTAAGACAGTGGTTAGTAGCATGAGGGTGAAGGGTAAAAGGGGGGTTTTTAGCCTGGGAGACTGGAGGAGCAGTGCCACTGACTGGGGTAGAGAATCTGGGAAGATGAAGAGGAAAGGCTGGTTGTGGTAAATGGAACAACACTAATTATTCTATACTTTGGGTTCACCTCACTCAAACATAAAAATATAGTAGAAATTAGCTACTTAAAACCATTCATTCAACAAATACCTATTCATCCCTTTGCCATGGTTGCCACTGTGTTTGTCCTGAGAATGTAAAGTAAGTAAGATTCATTCTTTGCCCTTAAGGAACTCACAGTCCAGTTGGGGAGAAATACTGTTACCTTTTGTAAAACTACCACGCTAGCTAGAAAGACCTTTCTCCTTTTCCCCACTTCTAAAGACCTGGAGCTCCTAAGAGGTATAGAGGTGAAATCCCATATGGACAAGAGCTTTGAGTCACATGACCTGGATTTGAATCTGGGCCTTGGAATACTAGCTCAGTGAAGGTCCTAGGTAGGCCAAGTAACCTTTCTGGGTCTTATGGGCCTCACCTGTAACTGCAGAGTTATTTTAAGGATCAGATAAGATGGGTAGAAATGTTTTGTAAAATGCAATATACATGTTAGCAAGTATTGTAATTATAAAAGCTCCATTTCTAACCTTTGAAAACTAGAGGTAAATCAGACATGGGCAGCAAGTCAGAGGTGAAAAGCCAGCTTTGAATCCTGCGGGTGGCAGGAGTTCTGGGATGGAGGATGGATTAAGACTGGTGTAGTGGGGAAAAGAACAGATTCTGGTGTCCACAGATCGAGTTTAAATCACAATTCAGTTATCAGCTGTGGAAAGTTGAGTAAGTCATGTAAGGGGTCTGAGCTTTAGTTTCTTCACCTGTAAAATGGAGTTGATAATATCTACCCAGGAGGGTTGTTCTGAGTGTGTAAAGGGCTTGGAAGGGTGCCATGCAGAGCAAGTCGCTCAATTAATGGTAATTGTTGTTCCTATTTGTCATTTTCCCCCCCTACCTCCTAATGGGTTTGTTTAGGTAGTTAAGTTACTTGAGATGCAAAGAAGTGAGGGAAACAGAAGGGCTTTTATGACTTACTTTAAAAGTTATTTTTAAAGGTAAGGAGAAGTCGTTCAACTCTTTTCCTTTACTAACCTATGGTGCAAACATAATGTTTTTGGAAAATGACCACTGTGTTACATGGCATGAAGCCAGAGAACACTCAGCTTGATGCTTATTTCTGGTATTTATTCTAAGTAAGTCTACCAATCACTGTTAGTAAGGGTTCTCTGAAGGCAGTGCTTCTCAGACTTTAATGTACATGAGTCGCCTGGGGGATTGTTAAAATGCAGATTTTCATTCAGTGGATTTAGAATGATGTATGAAGTTCTGCATTTCTAACACGTTCCCAGGTAAGGCCCATGTTGCTAGTTTTTGGACCGCACTTTGAGGAAGGAGAAATGCTCTGAAGGGATGTGGAAATCTCTTTCTTGGCATGGCGTTTGACGTGGGAAACAAAGGCAAAAGAAAAAAATTAAATTTCCTTACTACCTACAACCCATTGACAAGTCCTTGAAACAGGTAGAGTGACCTTCCTCTGGGAGTTCAGCTGCCTCAATGACACTTTGCTAAGGGCAAAAGGCAATCTTAGCTTAACATTATCCTGACCCCCCCCAGGATGCTGTAAGTCTACTTTAACACATAAAAATTCCTTTGGAAACTTGACAAGCCTTTTTCAGACCAGATTTCAAAATTCTTCAGCAGGACTCATTTCAGATCAATATTGACTTTTTTGATAGCCTACCTTGTGCAAAGCACTGTGCAAGGTGCTAGGGATCCAAAGGTTAGTGAGACACAATTCCTGCTTCTGAAGACTGTCCTTACTCTGACACTACCCCTTTGTAGACTGTTAACTTTCTAAGGGCAGTGTTGTTGTCTCGCATTATTGCCTATAATGCAGAAGCTCAATAAATAGTGAATGAATGAATGAGTTTATAGTTTCCTGAAAAATGTCCTCCAATAGCACATGACAATGAGACACTATCTTAACTGCACTCTGTCCTAACTATCACATGTAAGGGATAGATAAGTTACAATCAGGCTGAGAGGTTGGGCCTTAATCCAATCTGACTGGTGTCTTTATAAGAAGAAATTATTAGAACCATAGAGATTCTAAGAATGAACTCACACATACTGAAGGAAGACCATGAAAGGACACCGAGAGAAGCCAGCCCTCTGCAAGCCAAAAGAGAGTCCTCGGGAGAAACCAAACCTGCCAACACCTTGATCTTGGACTTCCAGCTTCCAAAACTATAAGGAAATAAATTTCCATAATTTAGGCCACTCAGTTTATGGTATTTTTTATGGCAGTCCTTACAAATTAATATACAGATTTTTACAGTTTTTATGCCCAGATCCAAGACTCCCTTCTGCAGGAGTCTTACAAAATGTAAGACTAATTCTAAGAGTGGATGGATGAACCTTAGGTTACAGTGGGAACAAGTCATACAGGAACTTAGGGGAGACAGAAGAGGGGGAAAGAGTAGGCCAGATTGGGCTAAAACAGCTATAATGTATATACATTTTCCTTCCCTTCTCATGATGCCAACACAAAGTTTACAGCTTGGATAGAAAGTCAGTTTTCAACTTTCCCCTGCTTTTCAGGCTACACTTGGATACTTAAGACAATTTTACTTCTCTAAAAAAATTGTGGCAGGAGGAAGATCCAAGATTTTTCTCTGAATGAAAGTTCTAAAGAGTGCAAATGATAAAGTAATGAGATTGAATTTTTGATAAACAGAAAGATGTGTCAAGATGTGCCAAATGGGATTCCTGCTAGCCATAAGGAAGCTACATTTGAAGCTTGATTCTAAAGTCAGGGGATTGATTTTTTTGTTTTGTTTTTAATAAACATGCTAATTCATATGTACCGATGAAAGCCTCCTTCAAAATGGTCATTCTAGAAGGTTCTACACTTATTCTAGCCATGTCACTGTTCTCAACTCATTTCTGGAATTGTTTTCAGGGTCTGTGAGATAGTCTTCTGAACTCAATGGTGACTCTTGAAGGTAGATTTGATTTTCAAAAACAATCAAGTGTCTTTCTGGTTAACTAGGAGAACCAGTCAAACTGTGCAATTCCAAGAAAACCCTAAAGAATCCAAGCTGATTTTTCTTGAGTGAATCGTACTCAACTCCAGAAGACAGTTTCTAAAGACATACCCCAGACATACATGTTATACACATGACACTGGCAGGGTGGTGACTGCTCTGAAGGAAACCCCACTCATTTACATATGCAAATTTTCTGGTGGTTCCCTTTACCAGAATATTTCCTTACACCTACATTTACCCTATCACATGGGACCCCAATTCCCAGAAGTACAAGGACCTCACCATCTTAGTCAACCTTTAATCTCCAACCTGGTTACCTGACATATATCAAATGAACAGCTGATGGAAAGTTAAATAAGACAAAAAAAAAAAAAAAACCCAAAAAACAAAAAACAACTAAGGTGTCTGTGTGATTCAAAGGGCAGAACTAGGACCCAGAGAGCAGTTCCTAAGACATAGCTTTCTGTTCCATGTAAGAAGGGCATTATCAGCAGCTGGAGCTGTCCAACAACAGAGTTAGTTTGCCCTGGAGATTGTGAGTCTCCAGCCCTGGGAAGAGTTTAAAAGGAAGGCTGCTAGCTATGGGAGGCTGTGAAGGTTCCTCCTGTATTGGGTGGGAGCTACCCAAAGACCTCCAAGGACTATCCCCAGAGTCCAATCTGCACAATAATACCTGCCAATTGTTAGATCCTGAAAAATACTGAGAGGGAATGAATGAGGAATATGGGGCATCTTAAGAGCCAAGTAAAAGGTTAGAGGCTGGGGCTCAGTCAGCTGCAAGGAAGGTAGGGAGAAGTGAAATGAAAACAGCTGCCATGAGGTGGGTCGGGCCTTCCTTGGGTTTTTGCTACCATGGGAGAGTTGGTTTGCAAGTCTACCTGAAACTTCACATGTTTATGAAAGGGTATTACTTTTGAAGGGGGAAGCAGTTGAGAGAGGAGATAGACCACTGCTCACCCTTCTTAAACTCCTCCAGCACGGTGTCCAGCCGAGTATCATTGAAGACGCAGTGAAGGGGCCGGTTGTAGAAGCGGGTGACGGTGAGGAGCGGCGTGCAGTCGTCGGGGTCCACGAAGGCCAAGTCCTTGACAAACAGAATGTCCACAATGTTGTGCCGCTGATCGCCCTCATACACGGGGATGCGAGTGTAGCCGCTGCGCAGGATCTCCGAGACCGTGGCAAAGTCTAGCACCGCGTCAGAGCGCAGCATGAAGCAGTCCCCGAGGGGGGTCAGCACCTCTTCTACCACCTTGGTGCGTAGCTCCAAGGCGCCCTGGATGATGTTGAGCTCCTCCTTCACCAGGTCGCTGTAGGGGTCCGCGGCCCGTAGCGTCTCCAGCAGCTTCTCCCGAGTGTAGAAGGTGCTGATCTCCTGACGCAGCGCCCAGTCCAGTAGACGGCCCAACGGGTAGCACACGGGGAAGGCGGCCGCCATCAGGAGCCGAGTCAGGCACACGCTGTGCGAGGCGATGGCCAGCCCGTGGCGCGAACACACCGAGTAGGGGCAGATCTCGGCGCCCAGAAACACGGCTCCGGTGCACACGAGCGCCGGCAGCCACGGGAAGTGGATCCCTGCCTCGCTGTAATCTTCCCCGGTGCCCCCGACGCCCGGCGGCAGCGAGGCGTACAGCCAGCCAGCCAGGGCAGCGTTGGCTCCGGCTTGGCCCAGGAGCAGGGTGCAGAGCAGATGGGTCCCCCTGCCGCGCACGGCCTGCACGCGGCGCGCCTGTTCCTGCTCTGTGGCGGAGCCGCTATTCCGCAGCACCCGTAACTCCACCGGGTCCAGCGAGAGCAGGCTCAGGCGCAGGCCGCTGAAGAGGGCAGACAGGGCGAGCAGCAGGAGCGCCCCGAGCGCTCGCAGCCACGCGGGGGGCAGCAGGTCCCCGCCGGGGCCGTACAGCCGAGGGCGGACGCGCAGCAGGAAGCCGCCGGCGGCGCCGTGGTGGTGCCAGGCGCGCCCATCCCAGGCGCACAGCGAGAAGAGCTTCCCGCCACCGCCTGCACCGCCCCGCTCTGCCTCGCCCTTACGCAGCTCCCGCACCCGCACCTGGACTAAAGCCGAGCCCGCCACGCCTCCGGGTCGCAGGGGCCCCAGGACCTCCACGTCCGACGCCCAGTCGCTCTGCTCGCGGCAGCGCTGCGGCCCCGGCGGGCGCGTGGGGACAGCGCTGGGCGCCACGCCGCTCGCTCCCGGGGGCTCCTCGATAAACACGAGCCGCGGAGCCCAGTCGCCGGTGCCGTTCTCTCCCGGGGAAAGGGTAGGTGCGGGCATCGGCGCCGCGGGCGCAGCGGGCCCGGGCTGGAAATAGACGCGCAGGAGGAAGCTGGTGCCTTCCGCCGCGCGCAGGGTGCCCCCCTCCAGGGACACGCGGCCTCCAGCGGTATCCTCGGGCCGCAGGCCCAGCAGCCAAGCGGCGGCAGCCGGGGGCTGAGGGGACAGGGAGAAGAAGAGCAGGAGCACAGCGCCTCGGCTGCAGCAGTCCCGGAGCCTGACACCCACCGCTGTTGCCGCAGCCGCCATCCTGCACCCGGCGTGGTTGCACGTGATGCTGCAGAGGACCGAGCGAGATCTGGAGGAGGAGCCGGAGCCGAGAACCCGGGCGCGGGCAGGTCACCACGTGTACGCCCCCTGCGTATGTGGGCTGGAGGTGGTCGGGGTTCAGACTATGCCCCCGCCCGGGGTCCCCGCGGGAGGCGAGAGATGGCCACGCATCACTGCGCCATGCATAACTCCCGACGCACTTCGGTATATCCGAGCTGCAGTCTAAGGAAAGCTTATCTTGGAGCACGGCCTCCTGCTCCAGCAGTAGGGCGCCCCTCCGCGAACTCCTACCCGGCAGTGATTCTCTGTCTGCCCCAGTGCTTCCCGATTGGCCAGGGATATTTCCCAGCGTTTCGCTTCTTCTCCTGCCTCTTGCGTTCCCCCTTCTGGTCAAAAGATATTAGGGAGATAAGTTTTGAATCTGTAAAAATTGTGCGTTTGGTCTCAACTCCGGCTGACCTTCTAGGTTTAAAAAATTTCCAGATTACGTAAATTCAACTCCTTGTTAAGATCCAAATATCCATCTATAAGAAGCTGTTGAAATAAATTATGACACTACTATGTGATGGAATACTATGCAGCAGGAAAAAAGAATGACGTGGATCCATGTGTTTGTGATATGGAAGTATCCCCAAAGTAATCGTTGAAAAATAACGACATGCAAAACAATATGTATAACATGCTAGTTTGTATTACAAGTTAAATTTAGGGGCGCCTGGGTTGCTCAGTTGGTGGAGCGTCCCACACTTGATTTTGGCTCAGGTCATGATCCCGGGGTGGTGGGATGGATCCAGGTTCTGGGCTGAGTGCTGAACGTGGGGCCTGCTTGAGAGTCTCTCTCTCTCTCTCTCTCTCTCTCTCTCTCTCTCTCTCTCTCTCCCTCTCCCCAACTCATGCTCTCTCTCAAAAAAAGTTAAATTTATATGTGCATATATACACATATAAAATATTATATGCAGAAAATACACAAGAAATTTCTAAGTGTTAACTTCTGGGGAGCAGGACTAGAGTGGAAGTTTGGTTGAGAGATACTTCCAAATATATATAAACAGGAAGTTGCAAAGAAAATACAGAGATCCTAGTAATCTTCATCCTGTTTTCCCCAGTGGTTACACCTTAACTATAGTATAATACCAAAAGCAGGAAATTGCCATTGGTGTAATGTATATGTATAGTTCTATCTCATTTTATCACGTGTGTAGATTTACATAGCCATCACTGCAAATCAAAATGCAGAATTTTCTCTATCACCATAAAGCTCTGGGAGGGAGACTTTTTTTTTTTAAACTGAATTCTTTGCATTGTTTGAATTTACTAGGGCCTGGTACTTTATTTTTACTCTTATAAATTTATTTTTAAAATTTATATAGTAAAATTCACTTTTTGATGTGCTGTTCTGAGTTTTGACAAATACATATTCATGTATCATACTCAAGAATAGTGCCATCTTGGGGCCCCTGGGTGGCTCAGTCTGTTAAGCCTCTGACTCTTGATTTCGGCTCAGGTCATGATCTCACAGTTGGTGAGTTGGAACCCTGTACTGGAATTTTCTGTCTCCCTCTCTCTCTGTCCCCTGCCTCTCAAAAATAAATAAGTAAACATTTAAGAAAGAATAGTGCCATCATCTTCCAGTATTCACTCTGAGTCTCTCTTTGTGGAACCCCTCCCTCAATCCCATCCTTTGGCAACCAATGATTTGTTCTCCCCCTGTAGTTTTCCTTTTCCAGAACGTCACATAAGTGGAATAATACAATTAAAGCCTTTTGGATCTGGCTTCCCTTATTTAGCATAGCACATTTGAGAATCATCCATGTTGTTGTGCTTATCAGTAGTTCATTTCTTTTTATGGTTGGGTAATATGCTATTACATGGATGCACCACACTTTGTTTATCCATTTACCAGTTAAAGAACATTTGAGTTATTTATAGTTTTTGGCAATTATGAATAAAGCAACTATCAATGTTTGTGTACAGGGTTTTGTGTGAACATATGTTTTCATTTTTCTTGGGCAAATTTATCATAGATCTGTATTACTATTAATTAATTAATTAATTTTAATTTGAGAGAGAGTACATGTGGGGGAGAGGGGCAGAAGGAGAGAGAGAGAAAGAGAGAGAGGGAGAGAGAATCTTAAGCAGGCTCCAAGCTCAGCACAGACCCTGACATGGGGCACAATCTCAAGACTCTGGGATCATGAATTGAGCTGAAATCAAGTCACTCAAATGACTGAGCCACCCAGGTGCCCCTATATCACTTTTTAATATGTAAAAGTAACAGTAATTTGACATACTACTTTTGGTACCTTTGACTAATTTAAAAATCATTGCTGTATGTAAATTTTATTTTCCCTAGGATTTGTGAGACCCCAAAGATATTCAGAAAGATTTACAAAGGGTAAAGCTCAATACAAATGGTTCTGACTAAAAGTTACCTTGTTTTCATTACAAACTCTTATCCAGAGTGGACGTAGCCCCTTCCCAGTTTGGGACTGGACAGAGAATGTGAAATAGGACGTAGGGACTGGAAAACAAACCTGCCATTGCCTCAGAATGCACTAGATCCTGTATACCACAAGCTGCCTTTTGCATGGGCTGCTTAAGAGACAGAAGGAAGATTTAATCTGAAGAGAGAACATTGAAGCATGTATGGGAAGTATAAGGGAAAGGGAGAAGAGGGGTCAAGCATGTGATTGTTTCTCTTAAGTATTGGCAAGAACTGCTTTCATTTTTCTCCTGACACTTAGATCTCTCTCTTCTCCCAACCTAAGTTCCTCAGCACAGAGGTACCTGCTATCCTAAGGGTTCTCCCACCTCATTTAAGCCATAGGACTTTACCATCATTATAATACCACTTAACAGCTTTATCAAGTTTTAGTGCTACAAAGGAATTTCATATATATTATTTCATACACACACTCACACACACCAATAGTCCTGTGAAGTAGATATAATTCCACCCATTTTACAGATCAGGTTAAATGACTGGGTAAAACTTCTTTGGACTCTAGATTGATGCTCCCTCACCTCTCAGTGTTTACCAGTACCAGAATAAAACCTTTCAAAAATTAGATCAGGAATTTAAAAACCTAAATTTCTGATTTTAAAGTATGACATGCTCATTGAAAATAAAATTTTAATTCAGAAGAGCATTAATAAAAATAAACTATAACCTCACCATCCAAAGGTAAGCATTGTTAATATTTTGGCACATTTCCTTTTTTATTTTCTACATAGATAACAGAAATATACACACACATACACACACACGCCCTAGTATGTTTGTATATTTTATAATTGAATGCATATTATACATACAATTCTACTCTGCTTCTGTCACTTAATATAACAAGAGCATTTTCCTGAATATAATAAAAAATTCTTTCATAAACATAATTTTTAATGAATGATACTATTACTATATCTACCTGTATCTATTATATTGGGAGAGAGAGAACTGTAAGAATGAAACTATTTCCAGTGGCATCAGCTCTATTACTCACAAGTGTTAGGTGTAGGAAGGTGAATCCACTCTTCTGGGCCCATTTCCTCATCTGTGAAATGAAAGACAGTTTTAAGGCCCCTACCCTTTCATAAGTCAGTGAGTAAGGGCTAATGCACACTGGGTGAAGATAATCTAGAGAGACTGAGTACTTTTCCTTTACTGAACAGGAGATTCTGGAAAAGTACTGGGTTTCCAGAGCTCTACTATAACTGAAAGGACACCTGGAGACAGGTTTAGGCAGTATGATTCTGGTAAGGAAGATCTGCCAAAAATAGCTCCATGGAATCTGAATGTTGACTATCTTCCTAGCTTATAAAATGGGCACTTCATAGTTTATAAGAAATTCCTCACTTTCCAGAGAGATGGAGGAAATGATACTTGCTTTTAATCTCATGACTATGCTATTTCAGAATGTTCATGTTAAAATTCCTTTTGTTATTTCATTACTTGTTCATTCATTCAGTAAATTTTTGTTAGTCAACAAAGTACCAAGCCCTGTGTTAGATACTGTGCATAGACAGATACCATGGTTGCCATCATGGAGCTAAGATTCTACTGAAGGTGACAGACATGAACCAGAAATTGCATACCTCCCTAATTAATTAATTACTCCTATGAAGGAGATGGTTAAAGTGCCATGTGAGTATATAATCTGGGAATTCATTTAAAGAGGAAGGTTTGTAAAGATTAAACCTCAAAATAGAATTTAATGAAAATGGAAGAATTTATAGATGAGGAAGAAAAATGTATTTTGTACCTTCTATCCCTTTTTGTACTACTTTAAAAATATGACAATGTATTAATACCATTCCTAATAATATTAACATTTATTGAGAGCCTACTATATGCTAAGTACATTATCCTTTTTAATCCTCAGAATAGATAAAAAAAAAAAACTGAGGCTCATTGGGTAACTGTGAAAGTCATGTCATTAATGGGTAGTGGGGTCCAATTGGATACACAGTCTGAGTCTGGAGTCTACAGGTTAAAAAACCAGGAAAACAGTAATACCAGGGAACCCTTACATAAGGTTTATATATCAGGCATAAATAAACTCCTTTAATTCTCAAAAGAACCTTTGGAAGTAGGTATTATTATCATTTCCACTTTATGTGAGGAAATTAGGCTACAGACAGATTAAGTATTTTAGTAGCCAAGATTATATAACCAGTGGCATAAGCCCTATACTATACTATTTTACTCTGCACATAGTATTTCTACGTGTCACATTTTTGCCTGTTTACGTACGTTGTTTTATACAGCTTGCACTTATAGTGTTCCTATAATTATAATAGTCCTTTTCATTCATCATTATGGCATATTTCCTTCAATAAAAGTATTTATAAGCATGTTTTTTCCTTTTTACTACCCTCTCCTCAACCTCTATTGTTATTGTGGTTGTTGTTGATTTGTTGGTTTTACCATAGGCCCAGAGGATTGAGTTAATCACTTGCCTCAGTTCATGGGCTGTAAAGAG